GTTAGTGAGGCATTGAAGTTAATCATGACAGCATTCGAGCTATTCAAGACATTCTACTTCCTAAAATAGAAAAGGAAGTCTGAGGCTTCCTGGGTAAACTAAACAACATCTCAAGGTTCATCTCCCATCTGATGGCTATCTGCGATCCTATATTCAAATTATTGAGAAAAAATAAAACGATCGAGTGAAATGACGATTGCCAAGGGGCATTTGACAAAATAAAGAAATACTTGCAAGAACCACCGATCCTTCTTTGATATAGAAATAATTGACTAATGAATCTAGCTAATTTTCTGATTCTCCTTCATCAATCCCAATTAGGGATGTAAATGGATATTCATGGAGGCGGATAATATGATATATATGTAACTACTCCATTGGATAAATATGATTTTCGTATCCGCCACATATTTGTACGAGTATCCATTAAGCGGGTAATCCACGGGTTTTAAAATACTCACAAATATTTATAGATATTCATGGATAACATTTTTTTTCCAATTTAAAAAAAATATATTTTTCAGCTTCGTTAAAAGACACAAAAAATTAGTATCACATAATATCATACAATTTTCTCTTAATTTAACAATAAACTTTCGTCACATTAATTTTCTTCTTTTTCACCAAAATATAATAACATTCAAATATGATATCCATACATTTTATTTTTAACCAAAACAAACTAAAAATATTGTGATTGTGAATTATGGTGGAAGAGCGGGCAATAAATGAGTAGGAAGGGAGACACTGGTTAAACGGAGGAAAGACGATACTAGTTGGTTGGACGGTGGAATTGTTGAAGTGAAGTCTGGAATATAGAAGAAGCTTAAATATGAAATTGCAAATATGATTTATATGAAATGTGAAAAAATTTCTAAAAGAAAAAAACTCATATAAAAAAAGAAATATGAGAAAACTAATTTTTTTCAAAAGACAAAAGAAAAGAATATAATAATTTATTAATGGATACTAATATCTATAGGGACGAGTATTATTAAATTTGCATTCGTTTCCATTAAAAACATATATTAAATATTCATTTGTTTTATCCGTAAATATCTATTAAATTATCTGTCTCATATTTATGACGGTTTTTATTCATGAATATCTGCCGAATAAGAATTATTTTTCATTCTTACTTCCCATAAAAAAACTTTGAAAGGAAACATAAATTTATTAAATATTTATATCAAGAAATGTTATTTTCATGAGTTAAACATTCTTCTTACAACAAATAATGATTGCCCATACAATGAATATGTTCCTAGTGTTTCTTCTCATTTAATATTTTTTCTAACAATCTGATTTTTTTTTTATAAAATAACTATATTTTTTTAATTAAATTTTAAAATAATCATCTTTTCCAACTATATATTTTAAATTATTCATATTTAAAATAACTTTGCAATAAAAAGCATGCATCAGACCAATTGACACATGCTTTCAAATTTATACTTAGGTACTAAATCAATATATATATATATATATATATATATATATATATATATATATATATATATATATATATATATATATATATATATATATATTTAATAACTGTCACATGCATATAAAGCCTATATATAAACATTAATTAATCTGGCGCATACTCTTTGTTTTAAAAATTAAGTTGTAAAATATAGTTATTTTGAAAAGAAAAAAAAAATCTAAGAATCCAGCCATAATTCCTATTAGAAAACTATTTTTCATATAAACTATCATTTTTCTATTTCTCCTAATCATTTTACAGATATTACTCATGATTCTAATCATGAGAATTTCAATTCAATACTCCACAATTTATAAGGCCTAACATATCTAACTATCCTCTTGCATATTTGAAGGACTTCAAATGTAACACAGCTATCCATCCATTGATTTAAATGAACCTTTATATTTTGCTTTTCCGTCTTTTAGCAACTTGAGAGTCACTCATTAAAAATTGATGTAACACTTCAAAGTACTATAATAAAGTCCACCAAATATTCTCTGAAGTACCCTTCCCCAACCCTCTTTAGTTTTTGTTAACATTTCTAATTAACTCTTCTCATAAAACATCTTAGTACATGGTCCTGTTATGGGAATTGCTACCTTAAAATTCAAGGCATGGCTAAAAAAAGGATGTTTGATAGTACATTAAGTTAGTTCCCAAATGTCAAAAGTCAAGACAATTTATGTTTGTGTTAGGTAATATCCGTCCTATTAACTTGTAGCCATATCCATAGCCACTCTTTGTATGGTACTCTTTTCATGCCTTTAACTTGTTTGGCTTTAACTTTGTACTTATATTAAAGCTTATAAATGCAAATGCATGGGCAAGTTCACTCATGCACGTTTATCATATGGAACAATTTTTCCCCTTTAGAGAGTGCGACACATGTCAAACTAAATCCTTGTACTCTAGCCAAAGAGTCACAAAATTGGCTTATCCAAATAAAATTAGGGTTTTCAAAATAAGATACACAACCAAATGATAGTTTGCGGTGACGGTATTATTTCAACACCGTTGCAATTCTTCTTTGTAGAATTTATTGTTTTATCTATCCACCAATCACGTCCTTCGGTATATATAATCTCATTCAAGCACCTCTTTTCTTCGTAGAATTTATTGTTTTACCCATCCACCAATCACGTCATTCGGTATATATATAACCTCATTCAAGCACCTCTCTTGATTTAAATGTGTGAAATATACAGGTGAATGTACCACCTTAAGATTGTTCTTCATCTTATTCTAGGAATCCTTTGCGTCCAATTATAAAGTTTAATTTTTTACGGTGAAGAAAACTACAATGAGCAGTAAAGTTTTTTCTCAAAAAATATTGTTGAATGTTTAAGATTGAGTTCGAACTCATAATCTTTAATTGAGCTGAATAAGATCTCTTACTAAATGCCTTTTGGTAATCATCCATTCTACATAAAAACAAATTATCAACTGTAAAATGAATTTTATCTTATTAAAAAATGGATCCAAACTAAGGTTTTGAAATAAACGTAATGTCATTTGTTTTAGAAAGAGATAATAAAGTATACACTACTACTATAGGATAGATATATTGTCCTAAAGTTAACAATTTGTCTTTTTTGTATAAGAACCGTTAATGCCTACAAACAAAAGTTGAAGCCATTTTTCCATATCTATTTTTGGTTAAGGGCTATATACAGTTTGGTAAATAGGGGCAACCCCTACTTTTGAATGCCCATATGCTATCTTTAGACTATAAGACCAAGGAATGTAACCTTTTAATAATGAAAAATAAAAAAAATGATGTATGCCAAACACACACCCCACATGTCATAAGGTATGTTATAAAGTTTGGTTCATTCATTTTTCATATTTATGTTCAAATCAAAGGCAAGGTTGAGTAAACAAAGGGTAGTGAGTTGTGTGGCAAAGTAGTAAAGTAGTAATTGAAAGGTTGAAAAGCCTAGAAATATATATGATACAATTGCTCTCTAAGTCAAAACTATCTATCATATTTCTTTAAGGAAAAGAAACTAATTTACTATCTAATGGTTTGTATTAATCAATTTTAAAAATTACTAAGTAAAAGTTATATTTAAATACTACAATTTAGAGATTTCACTTATTCAAATCACAGAAATTTGACCTAAAAAATGGTTGTTCAATAATATTTAAAATTGGTCAATTAAGCGACCTATACACATATCACACATATCAGTAAACTATTAATAATATTAAACGAATGATTGATATTGTTAGATTAGTGAACACATCTAATAGAAGTGTGAGAAAATAGTGAACTAGTTTGTGTTTTTTTAGTGTGAAAGCACATATTCTACTCAATAAACTCAAACTATTCACCACTTAAATGCACTTTAGTTTTTCTAACAGATTCATAGTACTATAAAACACCATGTTTATGTGGTCTCAAATATGGACAAACTAAGAACAACTTGAAAGAATCATACTGTTAAATGACAAGTTATTATGTATGTAATATACATGACAAAACTTGGGAAAATCAGAATTCACCAAGGGTAATGTTTTTTTAATGGGAGTTAGGGGGACAAAAGAAAGTGACAATTTCATATGGATATGTTCTTCTTGTGCAACAATTGACATCAATGATCTCAATTGAACTCAAATTCATAGCTAAAAATACTGTGGTGGTGAACTAATGATGTTGTAACCATCAATTTGATTGGTACTTTTTTTTGGAATGGAATGGAATAGTTTTTGAATTGGAAAACAATATTGCATGTATTTAGGAGAAGTGACTATGACCTGTCTCAAATGTTTTAACTATGTCACAAATAGAGATTGGCCTCTCATATTATGAGATAAAGGATGTTTCATAAATCAAATAAATAAAAATTTGGGATAAAGATTAATAAAAGTTATATCTTTGACTTAATATTTATATTTTTTATAATAAAAAAATTTAGATGAATTTGAATATTTATGACTCAGTATAATCAGGATAGATCTTCGTATCAATATTGATTATTGAACCTTCACCAATGTAGAATATAAATCAACTCCTTATCAATTAAATCAATTTTTGATTGATAATTGAATAGACACTTGACTGAATTAAAAATATAGATTTGAACAAATAAAAACAAAATGAATTATGGAAGAGTTGCACCTAGACTATACTCCCCTCTAAAAAAAAATCAACTTTTTTTGCAATTCCCACCACAAATAAAAAAAATTAGATCATAAAGGTAACAAACACAGTCATGGTTCCTAGATTAAAAAGTCCAAAAGCTCCAAAAATAGGAAGTGCTTTTTTTCTCACAAAACATGGACCCTTATCAATATTAAACATTTGTATTTCTTAAAGGGACCCAACCAAGGGAACAGAAAACTAAAGAAGCTTGAATTGCCACGTGGCCACCTAAGATTACTCCTATTCATCAATGCAGCTGAAAATTTCTAACATTATAAATACAACAAAATTGTAACTCACATTACACATTATCCACAATATTACAAAGTAACAATAAACTCATTAGAAGAAAAAAAATCACACATGGCTGAATTCACAGAAAATTTTCAAAATATTATTAGACCCTCTTTTCCTTTTCTTGATTCTGATCAAAGCATGGAACTTTTGAATCAGTTCATGGAGAATTCTAACATGAACATGATGCAGAATTTGATGCCTTTTTCTTGTGACAACATCTTGGAACATCATCAACAATATCATCAACAAGAACAAGAACATGTGTTTCCGAGAAACTTGGAAGAGAATTTTCATGGTCTTGTTCATCATCATCATGTTAATAATCACAACAATGCAGTTCAAGTTTCACTTCAAAATTTTCAACAAGAAAATAAAGTTAGTGATGGTAAAAAGAGGAAGATGATGGATTTTCAAGAGACTAGTTCTGCAAATTCAACTCCTGCAGTTTCTGAAAGTGGAAGCAAAACCAAACTTGTAAATTTTTTCTACTATTTTTTTTTCATTTTATTCTTCATGTTTTATGATGAAAAATCATTAACTTTTTTTTTTATAATGTTTTTCTTTGATTAATTTTAGAGTGGTGGAAGAGGAAAAAAAATGAAAAGCTATGAAACAGAAGAAGAAAAAGCAAAGGAAGTTGTTCATGTTAGAGCAAGAAGAGGTCAAGCTACTGATAGTCACAGTTTAGCAGAAAGGGTATAATTTAATAAATTCAGCTTAATCTATTAAGTGCTTAATTCATAAGCACCTATATAATAAGTTTTTTTATTCAGGTTAGAAGAGGGAAAATCAATGAGAAATTGAGATGCTTGCAGAATATTGTTCCAGGATGTTACAAGGTTAATTATTTAAGTTCCTTTAAAATTTTCTAATTTTTTTCTAACTTTATATTAGTTAAAATCTTATTTAATTTTTTAGTAAAAAAAAAATAATTTTTTTCTTACTTTTATTAATTAATATTGCAGACTATGGGAATGGCAGTAATGTTGGATGAAATCATAAACTATGTTCAATCATTACAGCATCAAGTAGAGGTAATTAAGAAGTGATAAAAATTTAATTAATTCTAGGAAAAGATACCTTTATCATAGCTTTAATTAATTAATATTAATTTATGTTTTGGTATTTTTCTTGTGCAGTTTCTTTCATTGAAACTTACTGCAGCTAGTACTTATTATGACTTCAATTCAGAAGCAGATGATTTAGAAACAATGCAGGTATAATCTTTTTCTAAAAGTTTCATGGTCCTATTCATTAATATATATATATATTGATACATTGCATATATTCATATTCATATGCATATAATATGCTAATTTTGTATGGTTGTTAGGGTGCAAGAAAACCTTTCAAACTGATGTGATGGATAAAATAAAATTGATTAGAGTTGGTGATATTTTTTAAACAAAAAAAATTTAATTTAAAAAAAATTAACATTAATGTTGATTTGATATGATTTGTGGCAGAGAGCAAGAGCATCTGAGGCAAAGGAATTAGCAATGTATAAGAGAGAAGGATATGGTGGAATTTCATGCTTTCAACCAACTTGGCCACTTTGAATGATTTAACTTTTCAACAGTTATTATATATACAAGAAATGAAAAGAAACTTTGATTTGTTTTCAACAGCTATATAAGCACACAAGTGGATGATATTCTTGTTTCAAAACATGTGTAAAAATCAAATGGAAACTTAATAATAGCTAGCTATATATTATATAATTTTTTTTATTGTAAGAAAAATGAAAATAACTAAATTAATTAATTTTTAAATTAAAAATAAATAAATAAAAACAGGTTTTATAAAATTTGGAAAGTTGTCTAGTTGAATAAAACAGAATTGAACTTGATACAATGCACTCCAATTGAAGGACCACTTTTCCATCCCATCAATTTGAGGGAATCAAAATACAACAAATCTTTTCTCCAAACATCAATACAATAACCTAATTTTGAAATGATAATTAATTTTATGTGTTTTTCTCCATTCCATTGTAAAATTAAAAACTAAAAAATAATATTTTAATCAATATAATATATAATTTAATTATAAGCTATTTTTATATTTCTTAAAAAAAATTTCTCATTTCACACATAAAAAAAAGTGTGAAAAATTATTCACGTGATAGTGTTAATTTTCTTTTCTTCTTTTTGTCGAGGCAGAATAGTTTCCATAATGGATGAAATAGGATGCCCATGTTTTGTAGGACCTACGGCAACACAAATTTTATCGACATGTTTTTTTCTTTTGAGTAGAATGAAAATAATTGATTAAAATAATGATTTTATTTTTTACCTTACAAGGTATATTCCTAGACTTATTAGGTGTATGGATAATCCCTTTTTGACATTGTGATAATGTGACCCTACCAATAAATTTAAAGTGACATTTAATCAAATTCCTATCACTATACTTATAGTGGCCAACTCATCTTGATTAGCTTCTTTTTTGGGAGTGTTTCCCCAAAGCTTGGAGTTTTTAATTTAATTTAATTTTTATTAAATAATGAAAGAGTGAATAAAAATGTAAATAGTAAATAAATAACATAATGTTTGTTTACTCATAAATGTAGTTTCACGTTTGAGATTATAAAGAATGGTAGTTTCATATTATTATTTAAATGAATTAATATTAAAAGTCATATATAATAGGTCTAATATTCTTTTTATTTTTTAGGTTAATATTAGAGTATATTTTGGTCCCTTAATTTAAAAAATAGTTATATTATTCTTCAAAATGTATTATGTTAAACTTTTTTCTAATCTAATTAACGACGGATTTAACGATTAAATTTTAAATTTTTTTTATCGTTAATTAGATAAAAAAAACATAATATGTGTTGAAGAGATAAATATTGATATAAACTTTTATATTTGTAATTTTAAAAAGTGCAGTGTCCGCGAACTTACTTCATCCTCATTTTGTTTGAGATGGACATAAACGGAATAAACATGTCTGTCAGTCACCTCTCTCCGCAGCCACACAATTCACTCTTATTGTTTGAATCTAGACTCTTATGTTTGAAAAGACTTGTATGCTTATTATTATTGTGGCATAAAGTTGATGGTTTGTGGATTGGTTTTATGTTCGATGTCGCTTTATTTGTCAATTTTAAAACTCTAGTTGAGACTCCCAGACAATCACTTTGTTTCCAGCTTGGTTTCATATTGTACTTTGGTTTGCTGAGTTGTGTTCGTGTTGAGTGTTTGTTTGTTAAGATTAATTACACTTGAATTCATTTTTATAATCTTGTCTGATAGGTCAATTGCACTTTTGTTTGGACTAATTGATTCAAGTCTATTGCGTCAGTTCTTATATTTCATTGTTTTTACTTAATATAATTTCAATTTGCTTAAAAATAATTATCCAATTAAAAAAGGGCAAAAATATATCTAGAATTCTTTAAATTATTTTATTGTAACAAGACAATCCTTTATGTTTTTTAACTACAAATAAGTTCTATTTGTTTTTAAATTATAACAATCAGATCCTTTAAGTTTTGTCTATTATACAAATTACAACCTTACTGTTACAAAACTGGTATAGAATTGCACCACAACATAGGCAGAATTGAAGAATTAATCATTGTCACCAAGTATTACATGAAGGTATCAAAAATCATGTCTTACAACACTAACATCAAAATTAACAATGATCACCACTTGTGAACCAAAATACACATTAATACTGCAAAAATCAAAACTAATAACATTATGATATAGACTAGTATATTCAACATCTTCAGCATGTTCTTCATCATCTCTTTAAATGACATATCAGCGTTGTTAGTATCACATAAGCTTTTTTAAAACGGAGTTTGTAAAAATGATCAACGGTGAACAGGTTAGTTAACATAAAAGGTCAACTTATAACGAAAAAATATAAAAGATTATCTTGTTACAGTAAAATAACTTAAAAGACTCTGCGTATATTTTTGCCTAAAAAAATTATGCTACTCATCAAATAGTTCAACGTCTATTTATTATTTGAGTTAGACTTATGAGATATTATCTGAGGTAGACTTATGAGATATTTGAAGTAATATTTTCTTATAGAAGATAATAATAATTTTAGTCAATGCTCTATATATGGTTTAGCAATTGCTTTAATGGTCATATAAAATATAAAATAGTTGTTAATGAAGTAAGACTAATGCTTTGTCAATAAGCAATTCAAAGATATTATTTGTCGGTAAAACAAAGAGATTGTTGATGATAAGTGATTCATAATCAAATAATCAAATTGGGCAAGTTCAATTAGACGTGATTGCCACAAAGTGAAAGTATTTATAATATGACAAAGCACAAACAAATTCAAGAAAGGAAAAATAGTATCAATGGAACCCACTTAAAAACTATAATGAATTCATAAAATCTTGTCGATGTTGCCAATTCATTTAGTGAATGATTGAAGAAAAGAAATATGTTTATAAGATTACATAGCATATTTGTTGTCATTTTTTTAAATAAAAGAAGGGTTAGAATTTAGATGCATTGTACCTATATGAAATTTGATACAAGTAAAAGACATTTTTTATGGGCCATAGCTTGCTCTCAAATAAGGATGGGCAATGTGGGTTCTCCAACTTATGGAAAATGATAGAAGCTTTTTTGAACCCTTTTTAAGTCACTTTTGCTTCTAGATTAATATAACTAAATCTTTCTTTCTTATTTTGACCCATTTTTTGACCAAGGCATTGTTTCTTTGTCCCTTAAAAATTAGCATATATTAGTATAAATCGAATATTTTCTACTTACAACCGAAGAGATTGTACTTTTATATTTTTAAGGTTGAAATTGAATTTTTTGTAAATAGTCTAGTAACTTAGATCAGAATTCTACATCTTAAATATAAATGAGTAAAATGTCGCAAGTTTAAATTTATACTTTTGTAATCAAATGTTATGAGTTTGAACTCTTACTTTTAAAATCGAATATTTTTGAGTTAACAAAACAACATAATTTGAATAATTTTCATTAATATTATATGCATGAATATAGGAGAGGAGGAATATGGACTTAAAGAGTCAAGAGTCAAAAAGTTAATAGATTCATATATGATACATTTTCAATATGGAATTTAGATTTGGGGTCACATGTTAGGGTAGTAGTTGGAGACAGGACCAAAGTAATTAATCTTTTGTGCAAATTCAAGGGCCCTAAGCATATGTGTGAAAGTGGAAGTTGTTAGGGGGTCATGTATTCTAAGTACCCCCACCAAATTAGCCAAAATAGAAGCAAAATCATCATCACCTCTTTGTAAGATTCAAAAGAAAGTTCATGACTCGAGAATTGGAATACTATTATTACCCAATTTTTGTTGCTATCTTGAAAACAACTTGCTATCATTAATAAGTCCTAGCTACTATTGAGGTCAAGGGTTGTTGACTTAATACTATGGTTAAGGATTCTTAAATTGTAATCATATATTAATATTTATGGCAATGATTTGCTTCACATCAACCTCTTATTTGTGACAGAAGAACAATACTAGTGATTATCAAGGAAATGTAATTAATTGATTACTTTAACCACATATTAATTTGGATGATTACTTATTGTTTACTATTTTTGTGTCACGCCTAATTATCTTAAAGTTTTTTTGTTAGAAAAATAAGATAAATTAAGTTGCATTAAAATTTATGACAACAAAGTTTGGTTGGTTTAATAAGTAGCAAGGCGGAGACAATAATATTACTTAGAAGTGCCTAATATATTATGCACAATGGTTAATAATTTAAATTTAATTGTGACAAAATTATTATTAAAATAAATCAAGAGTAGTATGTGTTTATGTTATACAAATTTTTAGAACCAATAATGGAACGATAAAAATAACTTTAAAAAGGAACATATTTAAAAGTAAAATTTTAATTAAAGAACTAGAAAGAAATATGAATAAAAATATTGTAAGAATTTTCTTTTCAGATAAGTTATTAAAATCGAATAGATTTAGGTTTGAATAGTAAACGGAATCATTTTTTTAAAGTATTTCAAACACTTTTAAATATGTCTTAGAGTTGTAGTATAGGAATGTCCATGATAATTTAGCTTTATGTCGAATTTGCACAAGACCAACGAAATCTCGATTTGTAGCGAAGAGAGTTTGAAAGTTGCTCAAGAGAATATTCGATTTGTGATGTGATTTTCTGAATTTAGAATGAAGTATTTATAGGTCATGTATGTGTTGTTTCACAAAGTTGCGACCCTTGATGAAACAACACCTTTTTACAATATTTCCACTAAAAGTTGCATTATTTTCAAGTGTTTGCCTATTTTTATTCCACCCACCAAAGCGCCACCGGCGCCGAATCATAATGCCGCAAGTAGCCTGATTGCTCTGATGTGTCGTGTCTAAGTGTTCAAGTGCCATCTATAAGCCGCCACTAGCGCCTCTACACCAACGCTCTCGAACCCGGTTCTGGAGTCGGTGTCGCTAGTGTCGTCGTATGAAGGAGATAAGTTGCATAATGCTTGGGACCACCACATTTATCCATGTGGCACTTTGTCCTCTTTTATCCTTTTATTGAGTTAATGTTCTTAACTCTTTATAAAGGCTT